TATAGGCATATGTTTTTTTTATATTTTCACTATCAGGACCATAACCTTAGATAAGAAAGTATTTTCCAAAGACTACCAGAGATATCGGAAGAATATTTTAGGGTCTGACAAAGTGTATTTTTTTTTCAAAATAGCAGGGCATGCGTTTTAAAAAAATATGAATTTTAAATAAGATAGATCAGCCATAATTGTGAATTTTTAAAGAATGTTTTTTAAAGGACTAGCAGAGCCTGCATAAAACATTTTTATAGTACTGGTCGAACACTAAAATGCGTTTTTAAGGTTTGACTGGACGAACATTTTTGAAAATTACCATCGTAATGTCATAATCATGAATTGACAAAGGGTAACTCCAAGCGAGTAATTCTAAAAGACTAGAATAGCCTTAATTGCGGATTTCTAATATTATATTTTAAATGACTTACAGAACAATAATCGGAATTTTAAAAAATATATTTGTGTAAGAACTATCAGCGCTATATATAAGACTACATTTTTAAATATATTTTTAAATGACTATAAGGGATATAAGTTCACTTTTTCTAAAAAATATTTTTTTTTTTTCAAATAGTTGCTCAATGACTATTTTGTAAAAATTTATCAATTAATTGTTCAAAACCACCCCTTTCATAGGAGGTTTTTTTTTTCAAAATTTATTCAACAAATTACTTTGTAGTTTACACATGCAAATTAGCAGGGCCTTTACATTTACTATCAAGTTTATTTTTGGTTTACTTTGTGTTTTTGTTAAGGGTCCTGTAAGTCGACCTTTATTTTTGCTGTGAGAGAGACTAATTTGAATAAATGCACCATAAAATCACTATTAACACCTGCATGTCGTTGTCGTTGTTGTTGAGGTTACGTGGGTTTTACATCAGACAGACACACTGGCTGAGAATTATTCAGTCAGTAGCTGTAATAGGATGACAATGGCGTTGACTACATCAATTTCCATTAGCTGAGCATGCAACAGCAACAACAACGACAACAGGAAACGAAATTGTAAATATGTTGTATGTAGTTGGTAAGGACGAATTTGCATTTACCTTATAGTTTTAAACGAAAATATTAATTTCTCAGGACCGTCACTTGGCAAAAAATGAAATATATTGGTAAAATCGTTTCCATCTTCGCTATTGTCTTTTGGACTTTGTATGGACTTTTGCAGGGATTTCTAAGAAATAATCAAATAAATGGACATATTTTGCGTTATGGAAACTTAGTACTCTGATACAATTTAAAAATAGGTCTGCTGATGTTGCACATGTACTTATTAAGCCCACATAAAATATCATAATCGGTATAGCCGTTTTCGAGTTAATAGATCGCCAACTTCAAAAATGTCATTTCGGGAAAATCGCATTTAAAGGCTTTAATATGTTTTACAACGATCGAACCGACTTTAGAGTTTCAATTGGTGGTAACATTTTAAAATGAGACATATAACAACTAGATTCAAATATACTGATTATTAATTACACTCATTTTTTAAACAAATTAGGATTTTTTCGGACTTCCAATAGGACGTTAATATTTTCCACAAATTGTTTGAAGTTTTTACCCCAAGCGTGGATGTTTATATCATCCACTCTAAGTTGTTGAACTCTAAGTATTCTAGATTTTTTATTTCGTTTGCAACACCTTCAAATATTCGTTGAGTACCCCATAAAGTATATATGTAAAAAAGATCGATTCCATGACCGTCTGTCTTTGAAATTTTACACATACTTGGCTATGAGTCGTAGGTATCTTTTTTAATGTTTTAGCTGAATTTTTCAACCCATGCCCTATGGGCCAGTCTCCAATTTTTTGACAAAAAGTTAATTTCAGGTAGGAAGGAAAAATAGTTATATATTTAAAATCTGGGGACTTTGAGCTTTATACCATTTTAATTTTATATCATTGTGGGTCACGGTTTACAAATGACATGAGGTCAAAGTAAAAATATATATTTTTTATAGTGTTGTATACCATTGACAAGTGTCAGAGTAGTAACATGAAATGACAGGCAAATAAATGGATGGAACGGGTAAATATAATGAAAGTATAAATTATTAGAAAATTTAGTATAATAAAAAAGTCTTTCCAAATATGATCTTAAAAAAGAGTTTTAGAATGGGCTCTAGCGGTGCCAGAGATTTTTTTCCCTAAACATGTATGTTTTTTGTATGTTTGATCATCCAATTATAGATTAATTTTATTCATAGCTTCACAAGATGTTTTCAAAAATAATTTTATTATTGATTTTATGAAATGTACCCCAATTTCGATTCACCTTATTGCCTTTTCACCTTCGTCTTGTAGTATCTTAACCAGCGTCCCCGAAACCCTTATATATGATATTTATTGCAAAACCCACTGCTCTAAATATGGCAAAAAGTGGAATCTCTACAATTTGATTCCAGTTTTGGAGGGTGAAAACATAAATTCTTTGATATTGTCATGGTGCCCATATAACGGTACCGCCTAATTTTCGTCATTTTTAAGTTTTTTTTCCCCGATTTTTTTCAGAACACAAACAACCTTCTTACTAGCAGATAATTTATGTCTCTAAGAATGGACAACACATGTTAGAGTGTATTAAATGTTGGGTCTGAACATAACGACGTTTTTATTATTTATTAAATATTTTTTGAAGGCCCAAAAAAGCAATGAAAGTATGCAAATTTTTAAAATACATTCAATATATTTTCATATATTTTCAAAATATATTATTGTAGGGGTTTTCCAATTATTTGCTAACAAATTTACTCATTGTATGCCCAGAGCAAAAATTTAAAAAATAGGGTGGATTTAAAAAAGATTTTTTTTTAAGGTCCAACTGAGGTCCACCATCGAAACCAATTGATATCTTATTCTACTATTTTTTTTATTATTTTTAAGGATCAATAGCAAAATAAGCTTCGATTATTTGGAGCATTCTGGGAGTGGAATGGAATGTAGTTCGGCTTGATTATATTGAGTTTTATTTATGATATTTTAAAAGACGCCTGGTATAAAATATGTATAAGAGACTAACAGAATAAACATTGGAATTATTAATTTTTAAATATTTTGGAAAAATACCAGTCGATTTTCTGGTAAAATACTTTAAGTTTTTGGTCCCGTTTTTAAACTGTCAGCACAATACATGTTATGACTTTTTTACAAATCTTTTAGTTGAAAATAGTGGAATTTTTATACCCTCAGCCTTATGGGTATTGAGGGTGATACGGTGAAAATGTGTCTCATCGAAATATTTGTTTTCGAACCCATGTTTCATAGTACCAAATCCGTTTCAGAAAATTTGGAGTCGGCTGGTGCGCACGATAACTGTGCACAACTTATTATTTCTTCCAAACTTACTTCAAGTTCGAAGATGAATATTGGTAAATTTCTCCTGGTACATCCCCCACAAAATGGTCAAAACTGTACAACCAATTATCTTTACCAAGCCAAGGCCAAGTCCGAAGAAGGGACCCTTCTGGAACTTCATCCACAAATGGTCAACATTTTCAAAGTTTATACATCAGTCGAATGGAATATCCGATTTGAACCAAACTTTGTAAAACCTATTATATCTTACAAGCCAATATCAAGTCCGAAAATGAGACCAATTGGTCCGCTCCTTCTGGTACCTCCCGCAAAAATGGTCAAAATTTATAATTTAAATATTAGACGAAAGGAATGTCCGATTTGAAAAAGACTGTGTACATCCTATTATCTTTACGTAGCCTAGATCAAGTTTGAAGAAGGAACATATTTGCCCACTCCTTAACATTTTCAATATTATAAATTCAATTCCAAGCGAATAGAAAGTTCGATTTGAATCAAACTTTGCCCAACCTATTATCATTACCAATCCTAGATAAAGTTTGAAGATGGGGCCATTGGTGGACTCCTTCTGGTACCTCCCACCAAAAGGGTCAATTTGTAATTTTTATATGAATAACCGATTTGATCAACATTAGATCTGAAACATCTGTGATAAAATCATATACCATATATAAAACGAACAATAAAACATGTGTGTAACTCCGACGACCTTCTCCGCAAACCATAGAGTGAGGGTATACTCGTATATCTGTCGGAAATTTTCTCTTTTACAGTTTTTCTTTGACAAAGGTGAAAATGCAAGCCAAGCGGCTAAAATTGTGAATGGTGTTTATGGTTCGGATACTGTAACAGCCAATTATGTTCAATTTTGGTTTCGTAGATTCCGGTTGTCGAAAAAGTCGATAAAATCGGAGAAATTACGGGAGCTTGGTTGGGAAGTTTTAATGCATCCACCATAGAATCCGGACTTGACACCAAGCAATTATCATCTTATTAAGTTACCTTTAAAATGGCAACAAATCATACAACAAAACAGTGCTTATTTGGTCCAAATCGGACATTCCGAAACATGTTAAATAAAGTCCTATAGTTTATATAAAAGTAATGGATTTCTTTTTCTATAACCTAAAATATAAAATTTGTAGGTAAATTACAAAATTCTCCACATCGAATCTCTCTCAAAAAAAACCTAATGTTCAATTGAAGAAAAATTTATTAATTAGATTGACATACTTCATAATAATCTTCATTGGTCAATCCCATATAAAAGAATGACGTTACAAGCTATTGACCCTACCAAAAAATGTAAATTACCCTCTATAGGGTATTTGCAAATTTGTGTGTGATTGATTAATTGGTCCTGTGTATTTACAGGCATAGTCATGTCTGGTTAACATATCCATCCATTCGACTGTCTGTCTGTCTCAGTCAGACAGAATGATTGTCTATGGTGGAACACCTTACACCAACAACAACAAGTACAAGTACAAATACAACAAATTACAATATGTTGACAACGAGGAGGTCGTTGTTGACAACCTAAGCTCCGAGCATTTCCACGAGACGAGGACGACTACGGCTATGATGAATTTTTGTTACCAAACTCTGTGGACTCATGGATGTTGTTGTTATTTTTGGAGTGGCTTAGTGCCATTCTGGCAAAAAAATACAACCAAGGTACTTACCTTCTTGTACAGCAGGCCAAGATAATCACAATAATTAAATGCAAATGCAGGTGTAGGCAACAAGGCGTTACAGTTAAATTTCCCGTTGTTGTTGGTGGCGATGGTACTGCTGCTGCTGCTGCTGATGATGGCGATGTTGAGGACGGTGATGAGGACACTGATGTGGTGGATGTGACTGTGGATGAAGTTGATGCAGCTTGGTCTTGTATTGATGACAATGATGGTGCTGCCGATGCTGCACCTCCATGCCCACGAATAGTGGTATTTGTAGTTGTTGTTGTGGCACATGCAAATGTCTGATGATGACGATGATGTTGCTCTGGATGGCACTGATGTTGCTGTTGTTGGCTTAACAGCTTTGCTGTTGTTATCTGTGTGGTTTTCAATGATGATGTAGGTGTTGCAGGAATTGTTGTTGTTGGTGATTTTGTTGTCGCTGTTGTTGCTGTTGTGGTTGTCGTTGCATTGTGAATTGGAGTTTTTGTTCGATTCGTTGATGACTTGATGATATGTGATTGTTTTTTCGGGTGCTTGGACTGCTGTTTGCCCTGATGCTGCTGTTGTTGTTGTCGTTTTTCTTGTCGTTCTCCGGTTTGTTGTTGTTGTTGCTGTTGTTGTAAATGTGGCCGTGCTTTTAATCCGAACAATAAAAACATTGCTAATTCTTTTGTAAAATTGTTGTAATTGCCTTAATTGATGCTGTTGGCGACGTTGACGACGTTGCTGCTGCTGCTGCTGTGCCTGCTGTCGGTGCTGCTGATGTTGCCGCTGACTCTGGTCCAGCTGGGAATTTGTTAAATTTGCTCGCTGTACTTTAAAGACACAAACACTCTGACATTGCTCAATAAAAATTCTGGTGATTTTAAAAATGGCCGTAAACATTTTTGCGGTAACAACGGCTCAGTGGAACAAAATTCGACGACGACCATTGGGTATTTCAACATTTAAGCAACGTTTTGTTTTTGGTTTTTTTCTTTCGTTTTTTTGGGGGGTTTTCGTCACTACTCCCCCTTGGCTACACTTTGGGTTTTTTTTATAAATTTATTTCTTTATTTTTTTTGCGGTTTTTTGCAAATATTTGTTTTTCACTATCTTACGAAGTTATTTCTCAGATTTATTTTCACATATTTCGCGAATGTTTGAGGTTAAATGTGTTTGGTGTGTGTGTGTGTTTTTTTTTAATTTCACTGATGATGTTTAATTATAAATAATTATTTTGTGAATGGCGAAGAGATCTTTTCCCTCTTTGAAGACAACAAAAAACCTTTATATTAAGAGCAACAATTTGGAACAACAACAAATACCAGAAAACCAAACCAAATTAAGTATAGAATGCGATGTTGTAAGCCGTTCGTTCGGACGTTTTGGGCTTGATTGGTCTTTGTTAACTGTTTGTTAGTTGGCTGTGGACGTGGTTCGTTTACTCTCCTCCAAGTTTGTTATGCCATTAAAGTCGTTGTTGTTGTTGTTGGCGTTGCTGCTTTTCTTATTGGGCGGTATTTGGTCTTAGGTTTCAGCATATTGTTGTCCGCGCTCCGTACACAAGTACGAGTACATATATACAAAATAATGATTACAATATACAATAATCTTATGTACTACTACTGCTCGTGTATACTTCAATCTATCCATCAATATTCCGTTCCATTATCTAAGACTTGATTCATTTGCTGAGTTGCTTTGAATATTTCATTTGGCTTTTTTTGTTACTGATTTGTATCAATTTGTTGTTGTTGTTGCAGCTGAACTCTTTCTCGCATTGAACGATCATTAGTAGTTTGTGTTGTTGTCTATTCATAACTACAAAAGTATATTACTATTATTATTACTCATACGTCTGCAGGGCACAACATTTGAGTGGAAAAAATACACTTTTTATTATAATTCTTTAAAATGTAAACAAATTACAGTGGTGGTCATATGATTAACACTCGTATCATGAATTGATCAGCAAATAAATATTATGCGGAATTAGAGGCACTTATAATTTGTAAAGTCTTTATTCATATTTATTTATAGTTTGTAATTTTTACTAATAAAATAGGAGTTATGAAATTCCAGAAAATATCTATTAACATTTCAATAATCGTAATCCGGACTGCATTTAATATTAATTTATTATCAAAAACATTAGATTTAAGAAAAAAATCGTTGCAAATTTAATTGAAAATGGTACCTATTATCTTCAAAGTTCATATTTTTGAAATTAAATTTTTATTAAAAATAATTAAATTATCAAATTAATATAAATTTAAACCAATTAATTAAAAAAATGTCTGCAATCAATTATCCGGATTAGCGAGTTTTTACTGTATTAACATTTCAATAATCGTAATATTAATTTATTATACATTAGATTTACTTAATTTAATATTAAATTTAAATATCATGTTTTTAAAAAAATGTTTCATGGAAATTCTGCATCGTTTTGTTTAAGTTCCCACAAAATATATATGCAAATATTTGTAATGCCACTAAAAAATCATTTTTTCGGTATAAATGTTTTGATTGAAAAATACTTGCAACAAAATGTTTTTCCGTATATCGCTGTATAGGCATTTTATTACAATTTATAATACTAACAAAATTTTAATTTTTAAAGACAAAGTATTTTTGAAATTGGATAGTCCGTTTGCATGATATAGAATTAATTTTTTGCACAAATTTGATTATTTTGTGTGGGAAGTACCAGAAGGAGTGAACCGATATTACCCATCTTCCAGCTTGAACTAAGTTTGGTAGAAATATTAAGATGTGCAATATTTTGATGAGATCGATTGCTACCTTCGAGAGCTATAGTACGCACCAGCCGTCAGGCAGACAGAAGGAGGGACGGACGGACGGATGGACATGTGTAAATCGACTCCCAATTGTCTGAACGGATTTGGTCATTAATATTTTGAGGAGGCACATTTTCACCGTACCAACGTGTATATACCACCCTACCACTGAGCGTATAAACACAATAGAAACATAACATGGTAGTTTGAAGGTTTTTTTTTTGTCAGAATGGAAAGACGGAATTAGCATATTGCAGGTATATTTATACTATGCCTACGGTTTCTCTAACAAGATTATTCCCTAAGGCAGTTATAAATAATATTTTCACATGGAAACAATAATAGAAACAGAATATAGTCATATAAATTATGTTCTGTACTTTACTATAAACATTAACAATTATAATAGGTAAACACTTTTAATTGAAGGTACATTTTAGTATATATTTCCCCATTTCGTATTCAGAAAACCAATGTTTTTAACCTGGGAGCACCCACTGGTATCCAATACTGATTTTTATTATTCTACGTTCGGAAAATCAACTTCATATTTAAATAAATATTTGAATTAAAAAGAGAGAGTTGGAAGTTGGGAATTTACCTAAAGAACGATTCGACTTCGAATGACATTATTGAAGAAATCCGGTATATTTTTGCAGTATGTGAGGCAATATCAATGTATAATGACATCTATAATAACAAATCAATGATTTGAATAGTAAAATATAAACTTAGTGCATACAGCTGAGATTATGTTCAAGTCAGGACCCTTAAAATTTGTTACACATGGCTATATTACCAAAAATACCCAATATTTATTAATTCTCAATATGTCGTGCCTGGTATATTTTCTTTAATAAAATTATTTTGTACTACTCTCGATCAATCGTTTTGATGTCAATAGTATAGATGTCATTATAAACCGATATTTCCTCACATCGAGCAATATACACCGACTTTTTTTATTAAATATAAATTCTTCATGTATTTAGTTCAAAAAAAATAAGGACGAATAAGATGTACAAGGACTCGAAGCAGAAGAAGATTATGTTTTACAAAAATATTCCTCATTCGATTTGACAGCAGACATATATGATATATTCAAGCTTAAATAATATTCCGAATAAAATTTCATAATTTCATTTCTTAGGTTACCTTAGAATTTGGTATAGTAATTTTGAAAAAGTTAAAAATGGGATTTTTAATTTTTTTAAAATTAATAATATTGACTGGTTTAAAGACCCATTATGATCTAAACATTTATTTCGGACCGTCTTAGGAAATATGCTACACTGCATGTATATTTTCTGTCAAAAGTGGTTGTTGTTGAGGTGGTTTTTGCAATTTTTTAAATTATTTTTCACAAAAATTAAACACATCACTGATTTGATTAATAATTTTTTTTTCGAAACATTTTATAAATGTTTTATATATTTGAGGATATTTTTTAAATAGGTATCCAAGGTTAATAGGTATTACTTATAAGGTTAATCGTTAAGGACAGTCGTCATTGAATATCAAAATTTATCAAATTTAAATAAACAAAAAATATTTTTATTGGAACTAAAATATATATTTTTAAATATATTTTTGGGTTTTGTTATTAGTATTTCGCAAAAAATACGACTCCCGGTAGAACTTATTAATAGGCCATGATTATATCGATGTCTTTGTCAAAACCATGGCCCAAATATCAGGACATCCAGAAGGCGAATGCCTACAAAAATACAACCCTACATCTACGATTTTTGTCAAACGTTATTGTTTAGACGAAAATGTTCTCTAGAAGCTTTTGTTTATTCCATTTTCATTTCGTTTATTTCACATGTAATTCAAGGCGATCGGCCCATTAATGAACAGAATTACAATATACATCGTACAAAATTACCTCTACCTTAAAAAATAAAATATTCCACTAAAATCGCATTAAAATTCCACTATAAATTTTTTCAACTCGAACGACAAAAGTTGCATTTAGCATTGATTTTTTGTTAACTAATTAGTAATTCGAAATTAAATTTTTATTTTTTATTCGAAATTAAATATTTTGACAAAAAATGTATATAGCAACTGACCTTACAGGATGACCTAATATATTGGTCTTGGTCAAAACGAGTATTTTGACAAACAATATATCAGCTGGTCCTATATTATATAGTAAAATTTATCCAAAACAAATAATAATAAAATAATTTATTTCAAATCCAAATTTTAATATTTTTTAAATACTTTTAACATTTGAGTTGGTTTTTAAGAATTAAGGAATTGTTATTTTGAAAACGCAATTCTCAAAATCTAATTAATTTTTGTATACAAAAAATTCATTCATATTTAAATTTGGCTCAAAAAATAAATAAATATTAATTAATTAATTTATTATTACTTGTACAGAAAATCCCAACTCCTATCCACTTGTCTATAAAATAAATTTAATATTCAAACTGTATATTATTTCCTATAGAAAAAATTGTTTCAAATTAAAAAAATCTAAATTTTTCTCTTTAAGGATTTTTATTTGAATTTTATAGAATTTCATAATTTTGTACTTAAAAAAATCATAGGTCATGATTTTGTTTGTAGGATTGCATATTTATATAATTTTTTTATTTTTATTTATAGGTCTTCAAATAAATAGGAAACAAATACATCTTCCTAATCCAGGATTCTTTTTTTTTGGAATAATTAAGCATTATTTTTTTTTTTACTTATTAATTAACAAGTAAATATTTTATTTACTCCATAAGAAGTGATACTATCGAATAATCCGTGTATTAATTATTTGATTTATGAAAATATAATAAAAAATCAATTATTTAAATTTATTTCTATAAAAAAATTTCCTCACTGATATTTCCTTTATAAAATTCCTGCAATGTTTAATTCTAAATTCCAAAAGTCCATCTAAACAACTTTTAACCATTGAAGGTATCCTTGTGCAATTGAATACGTTGACATTATGTTTAATTTCAATGTTATATCTTGACCACCATTGTAATTTAGTTATATTGTGTTGTAATTAATTACTTTTGTATTAATCGCTTTAAAAACACTTGCTTCACATTATTTACATTTATTCGATTATCGCGATATTTTTACTTATTA